AAGCCAAAACAATGCGTAAGATTTCTGTTTGAATTTCTGGGACGAGGAGTTATCATTATTTACACTATCTACTTTCGGTTGTTTCAGAGACTACGCAAAGGCCTTCGACAATGTACAACACAAGGGTCTGTTGGAACTGCTCAGCAATCTTGATATATTCAGGAGGGATATCAGAATAATCAAGAACCTATACTGGCAGCAAACAGCCTGCATGTGCATAAGGAACGAGTTCAATGAATACACAAAAACAGAAAGGGGCGTAAGGCTAGGATGCGTCTTCTCACACGACCTGTTCAACCTATACAGCGAGGCAATTCATAGAGAATTGGAAAACCTACCGAGATTTAGCATTGGCAGCTACAAACTTAACATAAGATACGCAGACGGCACAGTACTGATAGCAGACATGGAAGAGAAATTACAAAATCTCTTACAGAAGGTAGCGATGGAGAGTGAGAAGAAAGGACTAAGCATAAACTACAAGAAGACATAATACATGGTCATCAGTAAAATGAAGAGCCCGAAATGCAATTTGCAGGTCGGGAACACAATTATCAAGCAGACGAAGAAGTTTAAATATCTGGGAAGCGTTCTGACAGAGGACGGTAAGTGCGACACTGAGATCCGTAGACGTATTGGGATAGCCAAAAGCTGGGCACAGTATTGTGAAACAGGAAGATTTCTTTGGTAACAAAGAAAAGAACAATGAGCTGTTACGTGATATCTGTTCTTCTTTACGGCAGCGAATGTTGAACGATTTCTCCAAAAATGAAGAAGAGACTCGAGGCGAGGGAGATGTGGTTCTACAGAAGGATGCTAAGGATATCATGGACCGAGCTTGTGATCAACGATGAGGTCTTAGAAAGGTTGCAAACAAGGCTTGTACTTCATATCAGGAAGAGGCAGCTGAAGTTTCTGCGACGCATAATGAGGAAGGAGGGCCCGGAGAATCTAATACTCACGTGTCGAATAAAGGAAAATAGAGACAAGGGAAAACGACGCATGACATACCTAACGGGCTTAAGCAAGTGGATGACAGAATATGGTCTGGGGGAGGTAACAGAGGGAAGGAATTTGTTGATAGCTGCAAGGGATAGAAGGAGGTGGAGAGCCATGATCGCCTACGTCCTGAAAGGACATGACACATAAAAAGAAAGAAACTTTCGGCTATTGGCCTCAACAACAACAAAAATGAAAACAACAGACCGGATGCAAATTATGTAAATATGGCGTAACATTTTGGAAATGTTCTGGCCGAGTTTGTATAACAATTTGTCATTTATTTTTTTCAATGAATTTAAATCGATTGTATTGTGTCTATGTAAGTCCATATCTATCTATCTATCTATCTATCTATCTATATATATATATATATATATATATATATATATATTGCCTCAATATGTTCTGTGACGCTGATATAAGATGTTATGAGACAATAGTTGTTATTCTTTATTTTGTCTCATGAGTGTACATTGAACATTTCAGATCAAAATTCATTTAATAACTGTGTCAGGCTATGGATTTATTGATCTACATTTGTATATTATAAATAAGGTTACAGTAGCATCAAATAACCATTACTATGCTTAAATATGCACACACACATTTTATATCATTATAAATGAGTGTGTGTGCGTGTGTGAGTGTATGTGTGTGTGCGTGCTCTCGAATGTCTGTTTGAGCGCGTCTGGGTGGGGCGTTAGAACCTACCCTACCTTTGTCGGTAATTCTCACCTGTTAGTCAACGAAAGCATGAGTCCGGCCACTCGGCAGGAGGAAAAATAATTCTTTGTATCAGCGCACATCAAAAGGCCAGTCATATATCTAGCAATCGTTGCCCGTTCTCACACTGAACACAATTATTATTACCACTAAAAACAACATGGAAGAAAACGCAGCCAATTTAAAGGCCTGTAATCATCAAACCCTTAATGATACATATAAATAAAAATAAACAGAAAATTAAAAGTTTAAAAGGCCGTCTCCATTGGAAACATGAATAGAGTCATTGCCGATATGTTTTCATAGAAGCTGCATTTACAATATTAATAATGCAGGTTTATTCGACCACATTTAATAGCATTTTCTCTTTCTTCTTTTCTTGTGTATATACACATATATATATATATTTCCAATGATTTTATTTCTGATTGAGTGAACGCGATTGAATGAACTTGATTTTTATAGAAATGCTTTTAGATGTTTTTTTTTAATTATTATTTTTAAAACTGTTCAATGAGTTAGTTTCGTTCTCTTATGAAAGTGTTTGTTCGAAGGTGTGATGTGAGGTGATGAAAACTAAAAAGCAATTGTTAAATAAAAAGTCAAACGCATTTTCCGCATATACTTAATGATACTTACCTGGCACAGGGCTCGTCCCTGGGCTGGTGGTATCACGGCTATGACTAGCTTAGAGCAGCTCTGACCAGCTTGGACAAGCTATGACCAGCTAAGACCAGCTTGGACCAGCGGCCCGAGTGAGAACATTAGGGTCCCCACGTTTAAAACTGACCTTGTGTCACAACTTGACTCGGTGGGGTGTCAAGTAAATATTTACTTAATGATGTTCCGAGCGATTTATAAAGAGAGGCATCCTGGGTTCAAACCCTGACTTTGTACTGATTTACAAATATATTTTCATAAGCATTAAAATGTAGGTCGTATACACGCTCTAATCTATCTATCTATCTATCTATCTATCTATCTATCTATCTATCTATGTTCATATCTATGTAAGTCTATGCAGTCTCTTTGTATCTATGTGAGTCCATATCTTTATATATATATATATATATATATATATATATATATATATATATATATATATATATATATCTATCTATTTATATCTATCATCTATCTATCTATCTATCATCTAGGTCCCGTTCATATCTATGTAAGTCTGTGTAGTATCTTGTGTCTATGTTTATATATATATATATCTATCTATATATCTTTATATATATATATATATATATATATATATATATGTTGCCTCAATATGTTCTGTGAGTGTAAGATTTTTCAAGCCCCCTTTATTATATGCCCAAGAAATCTAAAGAGAAAGAAAAAATATAGACAGATAGATAGATAGAAACAGGATGAATAAATGAAACAGATATATATAATAATATATATATATATATATATATATATATATATATATATATATATATGAACAAAAAAAAATATTAAAAAAATATTAAAAATTAAAATCTTCAGACACACTGGGTTGTAGAGTAATATTCTTTTTTTTTATTATTATTTCATTTAGATTCCTCGACTAGTTTCAGCCAAAATGGCCATCATCAGGAGAAGAAATATTTCTGCTTGCTGGTAACAGTGAACTACAGAAATGAATATATATATATATATATATATATATATATATACATATATATATATATATATATAAGATATAACATATATATATATATATATATATATATATATATATATATATATATATATATATATATATAAAAAATATATATATATATATATATATATATATATATATATATATATATATATATATATATATATATATATATAAAACTTAATGCCTCTCCATTTATCTATATATATATATATATATATATATATATATATATATATATATATGTTCCATTTATTCAATCCTGTTTTATCTATCTATCTATATCTATCTATGCATCTATTCATCTATTCTATATTTTTTTTCTTTTTCTAGATTTTTACTACGTATCTCTTCGATTCATATATCTCCCTTTCTCTCCTTTTGCCTGTTTTTCCTAATTTTTTCAATATGTAGGTTTTTCGGTCAGGACGTGTAAGTGATGCCAGTTTAGAAGAGTCAGATATCGGATAAATATTGCACAGACCCTAGATAAAAAAACAATCTCGTAATGGTCATACATACAAACATGTAGAATAATAGTAGAGATGCGTAGATTTCTGAGTTAGGATACGTAATTCGACATTCATTCTTTCTTTCTTTGTTTCTCAGACCGTTAATATCTATTTACCTACCTATCTCAGTTTGATCAAGAAAGAAAATCTATTGAAATAAGTAAAATAAAGACAGTGGAGAAAGAACGAAAGAAAGAAAGAAAGAAAAAAAGAAAGAAAGAAAGAAAGAAAGAAAGAAATGTAGGAGCTTAAAAAAACAAGCATATATGGAGAAGGAGGCTAAGAAAGAAAGAAAGAAAGAAAGAAAGAAAGAAAGATGGGAAAGAAAGAAAGAAAGAAAAGAAATGGAGGAGCTTTAAAGAAAGAAGCATATATGGAGAAGGAGGCTAAGAAAGAAAGAAGGAAAGAAAGAAAGAAAGAAAGAAAGAAAGAAAGAAATGTAGGAGCTTAAAGAAACAAGCATATATGGAGAAGGAGGCTAAGAAAAGAAAGAAAGAAAGAAAGAAAGAAAGAAAGAAAGAAAGAAAAAGAAATGGAGGAGCTTTAAAGAAAGAAGGAAATATATGGAGAAGGAGGAAAGAACGAAAGAAAAGAAAGAAAAAGAAAGAAATGTAGGAAAGAAAAAGAAACAAGCAAATATGGAGAAGGAGGCTAAGAAAGAAAGAAAGAAAGAAAGAAAGAAAAGAAAAGAAATGAAGGAGTTTAAAGAAAGAAGCATATATGGAGAAGCTGAAAGAAAAGAAAAGAAAGAAAGAAAGAAAGAAAGAAAAGAAAGAAGGAAATGTAGGAGCTAAAGAAACAAGCATATATGGAGAAGGAGGCTAAGAAAGAAAGAAAAAGAAAGAAAGAAAGAAAGAAAGAAAGAAAGAAAGAAAGAAAGAAAGAAATGTAGGAACTTAAAGAAACAATCATATATGGAGAAGGAGGCTAAGAAAGAAAGAAAAAAGAAAGAAAGAAAGAAAGAAAGAAATGTAGGAGCTAAAAAAAACAAGCATATATGGAGAAGGAGGCTAAGAAAGAAAGAAAAAAGAAAGAAAGAAAGAAAGAAAGAAAAGAAAGAAAGAAATGTAGGAGCTTAAAGAAACAAGCATATATGGAGAAGGAGG